CCCCAACCCTTTCTATGCCGCCTATGGTGCCGGGGTCCGAGGCTTATTACTGCTGCTGGGGGTTTTTCCCCATGGGATTTGCGGGAAAGGGAAATGAGCTTCCAAAATGGATGCCACCCATGTTTGGAGACAGTGAGGTGACAGCAGCTGCACCGAAGCCACAGGCGGCCCCGACCCATACCCCACCTCCACCTCCATCTACTCATACTCAGCCACAGGCAGCCCCGACCCATTCCCCACCTCCACCTCCATCTACTCATACTCGGCCACAGGCAGCCCCAACTCATACCCCACCTCCACCTTCATCTACTCATACTCCGCCACAGGCAGCCCCGACCCATACCCCACCTCCACCAACTCATACTCTGCCGCAGCCACCTCAGAATGCACCACCAGTTGCAGCGTTGAGAAAGAGGGGCAGACCAAGGAAGGATGTCTAGGTTTGTTTTCCGATCGACCCTCTGTTTGTTGGTACATTGAATGATTAAGTAAAGGGAATGATTTAAACTTTTTTAACAATCTAAGTGTACCTTCTTTGGGTATGGGGGATTGTAGTGGTCGTGTTCTGTACTATAGCTGTATGTGGGTTGCTCCTAACTAAATGCTATGGGAATGAATTTATGGAGCTTTTCAGCTCGATATATCACAAAGTTTTTATATGTTTTGTGGGTCTATGTTGGTTATTTTTTAGTATCATACTTTTGGGTGTGATAAAATAGCATCCTTGAGTGGAAATGATGTTCCTGCTTAGCAGTGTTCAGTCATTTGTTTTAGCCATGACTATATGATTTGTTTGATGTTTTTGGTTTAACACTACTGCCTGCCTGTTAGGCCATTTGGTTCGGCGGTGTTGTTCACTTCGTTGTTTGAGTTTTGGTATCTTCCTCTGTCGCTTTCCGTCTTGAAATTGTATGGCCGTAGAAATTGCCTTGGTAGCCACCATAAGAGCAAAGGCTGATCCTAACTTCTACTCTCATAGAAGTGCTCTTAAAAATTGTGTTGGGCTGTATAGGCAGCCTTCTAGGAGCTCGAGCAAGCACTTAGTTCTGGCAGATGAGAAGGAAGAGCACCCACAATGCATTGGGTCCCATTTTACGTGACATAAATATGACATACAAATGGAATTAAGTCTTGAATGACATGGACAAATCTAAGTAAAAAAACTCAAAAACTATACAATGCAAAAATAAAATACTAAGTCTAGAATAGTTGTCAACCAAAATAAAGTCAAGAGTGAGCTTGTTCTTATTTTTTGATTGTTACATAAGTTAGACCATGTCCACTTTTACTTGTTGAAACACATTTTTTATAGACTCAGTATATCTTTCTACATGTCATATGGTATTTTTTTAATATATTTAATATATATTTAATATATATTCTTTATATATTTAATATATATTTTCATTATTTTTAATATAATGATATAGGTTTTGATTTTTGTGCAATGAATATAAAATATAAAAAATAATAAGCATGTTAAAATCAATGCAATAGTTATGAATAAGATCTTTGTATTTCATCTTTAGTATATTTTATAAATGTGTATTGTGAATAATGTACAATAAATAATTCATATATTTAAATTTATTAATATTCTTACAACCTGTCTAAACTTAATTATAGTCTCGTTCTGTTAGGATCGGTAGATAGGCTCTTAATTTTATGGGACCGCCGTCCAGATTTAATCTTTGGTCCCGACCCCAAGTTCTCAGTGATTTGTCAACCAGAGGTGTCTGCTTATGGGGAATTTTTGTCGATCTATATTTTACGTATATACATTTTTTTTTTGTGTGTTCATAGTCTAGGAAAGGCGACGTAGTCACTATGTATTCAACTTTTTAAGTACACAATAATGACTACTGTGGACATGTATAAGAAGGTGTATTGTCCTTTGTCCGATGTTTTCCAGCATCGGCAATCTGTTTGTTTCCTGTGATATTTGCGCGAGGTGTGTCATCGCCACCACCGAACCTCAAAAGGCATCGGATAAGGCTGATCGTAGAGACGCCCAAGGATCTTCCTGGGCCTTGATAGTGGAGATTTCTTTTGGGGCATCTCCTTATATGGCCCCCAGCTCTTGGTCTCTGATGGTAGTCTGGCCGCTAGACCGTCATTATAAAGAACAAGGTCATGATCGCCCAGGGAGTTACACGATGCCCAGACCGAAAAGGTTTGCGATCTGAAGGTAGAACCGTAAAGGAGTCGTCAAGAAAGAAACTCCCCAAATCTACTCTAATGTCATCCGACTACAAAGTAGTTGTTTTGGTTATGGATTGATCAGTCTTTCCAGGGTTGAGATCGGTTGTGCTAAGATCGACAACGAGGAGGGGCCTTGCTTCTGGCAGATTTTGTCGTGGTTACATCATAGCTTAAAACGAGGTCGATGTACATGGGAAGCCTCAAGGTCGGTGTCTTTCGTCTCTGCTGAGGTGCTTCTTAATATCTTTTACTTCAGGGATGTCATTCATGTAGATTGCATCGTACTCGTCTGAAGGGGCTTGATTCTGGTAGGCAAGTTTTGAGTATCAACATCTAGTTTGATGAAATTTTAATATTATTTATATATTTATTTTACTCAATTAGATTTTATTTTATTTATTAAACTATATTTTAATTTTTGTGTTAAACATAATTTTTATATTTATGTTTAAAATTTATTATATTTATATGTTATGTTTATTTAAAGTTAGTTTAGTTTATTTTAATTTATTTTTACTTTTATTATTATATGTCTTACTTGTCTTATTTTAATTTTCCTAATTTAATAAAATATATTTTAACTTATTCAAATATTATTATTATTTATTTGATTTAACATTTTTTTTGATTTATTTTATTCTTCCTTTTTAATTTTTTTAGCAATGTATTTGTTTCAATTTATTTATTTGGTTGTTATATAATAAAAACTGTTGTATTATCATTGCTAAGTTTGGTTGGCGTACTGGTTTGATGAATTGTCTTTCCACTGCACGATCAGTTGTTCAAAAATCTCTACAATTGACAAAAATTTTCTGTTTTCCTAATAAGTAAAGGATATAATGGTAAGTTACATATAAAAAAAACCTTAACAGGACCCAAGAGCGCTTGGATGAGATGGTTTGGGTCTCTTCCAGCTTCACCAGTGGTCTCGAGTTCGAGCTCTGAGAATGCAGCAGTGTTAAAACTCTTGAGGGAGAGCTTTGCCGCCCTTGTGGTCCTACTCGGCTCGATTCCGGATTAGTCGGTTCCCCTGTGGATCCAGAAACCGGAAGGTCCCTGTACCAAAAAAAAAACTTAACAGGTGATATAATGGTAAATAAAAAGTCATTAATATTCGTATAAACATCAATAATATTCATATAATACCCAAGAACGCTTGGATGAGATGGTCTCTTCCAGCTTAATTAGTGGTCTCGTATTCGAGTATTGGGAATGCAACAGTGTTAAAAACTCTTGAGGGAGAGCTTTGTCGCCCTTGTGGTCCTACCCGGCTCGATTCCGGATTAGTCGGTTTCCCTGTGGATGCGAAAACCAGAAGGTCCCTGTACTAAAAAAAAAATAATATCCATATAATCCGTGCATGCACTATTATCTTTGCCGGAAAGGGGAATCGTGCAAGCAAAAGCCTAAATATAAATGGGTTTCACAGAGCTTGCTGGGAAGGGTGAATCATGTAAGTAAATGTCTTGTTTGGTAATTAGCGGTTAGCTTTTAACGGATGACAGATTGTAATAGATATTTTGACCAGCTGCTAGTATTATTTGTTTTGACCGCTTATACTGTTAACTGTTCTAAAATAAAAATGTTTGGTTAAATAAATGATTGATTTGTGAATATATATTTGATGTTATTAACTTTCTTATTTTGTTATATACATACTTAAACCAATTGTATATGTAATTATTTTTGTATCAATAAAAGTTAAATTGATTTTTAAATTAAATTAAGTTTTCATACTTATTATAACTAACGTAAAATAGACGAAAGAATATAAATTAAAAATATAAAAAAGTGTGTTAATGTATTTTAATACAACTTGGTATTTGAAAATAACAACAAACTTTTTATCCTTATCCTTATCTCCATTAACTAAAAATTAAAAAGCTGAACGCACCACTCACATTAAATAATGCAAGAAACTAAAATGTGCTAATTAAAATTATGTTTGGTTAAATCAACTATTTTTTTCACTTATTAATATTTAATTATTTTCTCAATCCATAATAACTAGTATTCGATGCTGTCCATTTACAAAGATGTAAAAAGAAAAAAAAAAGATTACAAATTAATGGATGATGACATATGTATATTTGTTTTTGGGTTAGAGTGGATTAATTGCACATATGTAAGTTTATTAAGTTTTTTCTAATGATTTTTCACATAAGTAAAATTTATTATATTTTATTTGTTATGTTTTAATTAATGACTTGTCAGCGATTAATATATACTCCCTTAATTTTATGCTCCCTTAATTTTATGCTCTAAAAAATCCTGAAGGAGCAGCACAGCAGTAACACGTGTCTTATACCCAGCCTCCGTTAACTCGACGTGGGGAACGGGGGAAGAGGCGGCGCATGTTAGGTCCCAACCAAGGCTCACTGTAGCACCGGACACTATTTTAATTTGTTTTTGTCAACACCGATCTTCGTTTTGCCCAAGAACCAATCACTCTTTTTTTCTCGATTCTCGTCTTCACCACTTTAGGCCGACTCTTTTTTTCCTTCTGAGCTAAGCTGAGCAGTTCTGTATATTCATACAGATTCTATCTATGGGCTATTTGATTATTACTGTAAAAATACTTGTCGAGTGAGAACAAAGACAATCTGATCTTATCCTCTTTTCATTCAGATCTGTAGGAGTTTGCCGGCCAGTTTACTTTTGATCGGAAATTGAAGAATCTGTTTTGTGTTTCTGTTCGCCGGCGATAATCTGTTGTCCTCTCAGGCTGTCTGAAAAGCCAGATTGAGGGCGAGAGAAAATAAGAGAAAAGACGTCCATCGTTGATTGCGTTCTTCACCATGCCTCATAGAACGACTTACTTCTTCCCAAGGCAATTTCCGGAGCGCAGTCCCAATGAATCATCGCCGAAGTCGGTAGCAGATCACGACAAGAAATTCGGAGAGTCGGAGGACGTTCAACGCGGAAAGGTCGCGCTCGAATCGTTTACAAGCGAAAGCATCTCCGTCCGTGAGCACAGGGCCAGAAACAGCTTCGTCACGGGGCACGAAACCCATTGGCAACACTTGTCCGCCTTCATAAAGTGGCTTTCGGATAAGAAAAGAAAGGAGGAAGAATCACGGGCCTGGGGGCATCTTGAGCCCGAGGAGATCAGATTGTGCAATAACGAAGACTGCGTCGAGGAGGAGGAGGATCTAGTGAATCAGCCGCTGCTGACTCTTCCCCCGCCGGCGCCCGAAGGTGACCAGCGGCGCAGCGGGAGTAATTTAAGCGGCGTGGATCACGAAAGAGGGTTCGAGAGGAAGAATTCGTTGCAGAGATTGTCGTGCGTGGGGAGCACGGGCTATGCGGGGAGTTTGTTCTCGGGGACAACGTTGGACGGGACATGGTCGACGGTCACCACTGGGGTAACCAAGGACGGCCCGACGGCGGAAGGGGGTGGGCCCGGGCAAAATGTGTGCAGTGGAGACGCCAAGAGGCTAAAGGAGGGCTATCACTTGCAGATAATGCTCGCCAGACGACTTACTCAGCAGGCTTCGACAGCTGAGGAGCCTCTCCTTCAGGAGCATGAAATTGGTGGACCTCCAGATCCCGAAACGGTGTCCTATCGTCTCTGGGTATGACTACATATTTGTCGAGGAATGAAAATAACAATTTTGGTCTTCAAACTATGACCCAAAAATGGTCCCCTCGCAAAGTCACTTTTCTCTTTCAAAGACCTGTCTAGATCTAGATGTCAGGTTTGGCATATGATTTGTCCCAAAAAATTGTGATTATTGTTTTACTCCGAAAATTAGAGTTTTCTGTGATGGTTGGAGCTTTTGGAGATTCTGCTACTATATTTTCTGCTGAGATGTTGGGAAAACCCCAATTTCGGCCAGGTACTATATGGGAACTGAGAACTGTAATTACTGGACGGGGTTTAAAGTCCCTCTTATGGGCAAATTTGAAGTTCAGGTTAATATAGAAATAACTCACAGTATTGTTTATATCCTCAGGTCCTTGTCCAGAGCAATCTTAAATTATTATTCTTAATTCTTGTTTCAGGCCACTGGATGCCTGTCCTACTATGATAAGATCTCGGATGGGTTTTATAACATTTTGGGAATAAACCCGTATGTATGGCTAATGTGCAACAACTTGGAAGAAGGCAAAAAATTGCCTTCTCTGATGGCGCTAAAAGCAATTGACCCCAATGACACAATGCTAGAGGTGACACTCGTGGATCGACATGGAGACTCGCAGCTCAGAGAGCTTGAAGATAAGGCTAAGGAGATTTATTTTTCGGCAGAGAGTACACTCGCCCTGGCTGAGAAACTTGGCAAACTTGTTGCTTTTCATATGGGGTAAGCAATGGATATACTGGTTTACTAGTTTTAATGTTGTATGTTATATCCTGATATGATTGAGTTGGTGAAATTTAAAGGGGCTCTTTTCCGGTGGAGCAAGGTGACCTTGAGTTTGGCTGGAAGTTGGTGAACCGAAGATTAAAGGATTTAAACAAGTGCATTGTGTTTCCTGTCGGTGATCTATCAATGGGACTTTGCAGGCACCGAGCCATACTGTTCAAGGTGAATGATTATCCTGTTTAATAATTGCAAATTAATTTTTGTCCCTTTAATATTTCAGCGTGTCTTGTTTGTTTTTCTTTCTTATATATATATATTTTTTTTTTCTTTTTCCTTGTTTTTCAGTGTGCATGGATAAAAAAAACATTTAGCCTTGATCTTTTTTCTTGCTTTTTAGTGTGTGGATCAGAAAAACATTCACCATATGCCTACATACATGATCTAGTATAAATATGTGCTACATTTTCAGCACGAGAAAGATTTAATTTTCTAACTCGGCCAAATGAATATTAACACCTACTTAGTTAGGTGGCATTATATTATTGAAATTTGATTGATTCTTCTCTTGTACGTAGATGGCAGCTCGTTATTTTATTTTTCTATATATGCTAAAAGTAGTGAAGAAGGGTAATGGATGTTCACATGATCCTAGCACAATATACTTTTTGCTTGATAATAAATGTCAAGGTGGGCAAGTGCAGTAAAAACATTCTTCTTTGTGCACATCAAATACAGGAAAGAGCCAATAATCTCTGTGGATTCATTACTTAGGCTGCATTGTTTGTTTCTTTTTAGAAATTGGCAGACTACATTGGTCTGCCTTGTCGGATAGCTCGAGGTTGCAAGTATTGCATTTCTGACCATCGATCTTCATGCCTTATCAAGATTGAGGATGAAGGGATGCTTCCCAGGTATTTCATACTTTGTATTTCGAACTATGTTCTTATGTGCTGCTCTGAAGTTGAGGTAAAGGCTACTCAGATAGTCAGATTGTGTAGGACATGATTGTTGGTTTTCTGACTATCATATTGTCAGCTTAACCTTGAGGGTTCTTTTTATTTTCAAATGTTTAAAGTGATTGCAATATGCATTTTCTGCCCGTGCTTCCACAAATGTATCAGAACCCTATACAACCATTTATGCATGCCATGTTGATTATGTGATGCTTCGGATTGTTCAAAAGAGAATCTTTTTTTTATAAATAGCTAATGATATAAAATGCTTGATTTGGATAAACGTTGAAGTAGTAGAAACGTGTAGCGAGTGCTGACAACAATCCTATTTATTCAGTGTGTTTTACTGTAGCAATTCCTTATTTATTGAGGCGAAAAACTGATGGAGTCACTAATATTTGGTTTTTGAAAAACTGGCCAATATGTTGTTATCGAGTAAAAATCAGTCTAGTAGAGATTTTATGTGTGGACTTTATAAAACACCTACTCAGTCAAGATCAGATTGAAGTATCCCCATTCGCCAGAGCTTTGATGAGTAGATGCCTAGTGGTGAAGCTTGGTTTTCTGGACTTGAATTTTTATTCACCTCAACAAGAAGTAATATGAGCTGGCTTAGTTTAATAACCATATGAAGCATAAGAATGGTCCGAAGTTGAGAAAATTCTAATTCAATTTCTGAAGAATACTCAAGTTTTTCTATTTGATACTTAATTTGGGTAAGCACTTTAATGTTCACATAATATTTCTAGGCATTTGACATTTTCATTTCACACATTTTTATATTATCAGGGAATTTGTAGTTGATCTAGTTGGGCAACCAGGAAATCTGCATGGCCCAGATTCATCAATCACTGGAAGTTTACTTTCTGTACCTTCACTGCTACAAATATCACATCTGAAAGAGTTTCAGCAGGATTGTAGGAATGAGGCTGATTGTCAATTGCTAAACTCAAAGTATGCTTCTGACAATAGCAATCCTGTTTATTCAGGTGTGTTTTATACACGACTCTGTCGCAATCCCTTACCGAAAATCTGTCAGAGTTTCTAATATTTGGTTTCGAATAGTGCTGTATAATAGATAGTATTTTTTGTTTATAAGAATTGGCTGTATCAGTGGTCGAGGACTTGTGTATCAGTTAAAGATACCAAGATCTCCAGTCAGTTAGCAAATGCTTCTTTTCTTATTAGAGAGTGTGAATACATGTCAGATCCTTCACTTTCTTTTCCGCTCTGCTTCAAATTATTATATTTTGTGTTTGGCCGGCTTTGAAGAAATCCATGTTGTCCATAATGTGTTAATTCATAAACTTGTTTTTTCCAACTATAGATACTTACGTTCATTCATAAACTTGTTTTCTTCAACTAGATACTTATCGAAGGGACTATTTTGCAGTCGGTCAGGGCAATACAAAGGATATTATTATTCCAGAAAATGCAAAAGATGATGGGTGCACTCCAGCAGTTTCTGATGCTGCAATATGTGAGGATCATTCTCAGTTAGTAGGTGACCGAGTTATTATAAAACAGACATACAAAAGGGAAGTTGTTTTATCAAGAAATACAGTTTCAACTCAAGCAGAAATACAACCCATTGTAACCTTCTCAGAAAGCAAAGATCCTATTGAGGCCAAGAACAAGATGCAAGATCATGGGAAACACCCTGCTTCAAGCATTCCAAATTATTTGAGTTTAGAGCCTTCTCTTTCAATGGATTGGCTTGAGATTTCATGGGATGAATTGCACATCAAGGAACGCGTAGGCACTGGTATTTCATTTAGTTCTGTCACAAACTTCTTCCACACTATTATGACATCCTTTCAAAACTTTGGCTTATGATACTAGTTTTTTTTTTTTTTT